CTTGAAAGTTATTAATTACAAGTAGCATGATGCCAGCAAAATGATGCCTGTCACAGCATTAATTGATGAGTAGAAAAATATGAACCCAAAAAGATAGGAAGTCTATTAATAGAATTTTTTTATATGACTATTTAAATTGTTCAAATTCGAGCATTGTCGGTTTTTAGTTATTCCAAAATATTTTTTTCATTCACATAAATTGAAACAATCAAAACTCATCCCACGAGAACTAATATCCTGCGGATAGAAACTTGACAAGCTGACAAATATACAAATCAAAGAGACAAGTGGTCAAATTGCTGTTGGGAAACTCAATTTTGGAAACTTGGGCCGGCAATTGGGCCTACCATTCTGGACTATTGTGGCTGCCAATTTAGAATTTTCAAAGACATTCATAAACATTGTCGTCATGTCACCAGTCTTTTTTTTAGGAAAATAAGAAAAGAGAAGGCGTGTTGTCTTTATTCTTATTTCTTATAGATTTAAATTCGAGTCTTCAGTTTTTTGTCATGTCTTCTGCATTTATTGATTTATTTGATGCTTTATTATATATAAATACATATTTCACCAAAAAAGATATATATATATATATATATATATTACTTTAAACCTTGTTTTAAAAGTATTAAAATTTCGAATCATCACCCGATCTAATATAAGTGGGGCAGATGGAGACTCATTGGATTTTTTGTTGTTTGTTGGCTTATCTGAAAGTGTAGGAGTGGCAGGATTTTTGAGAATAGTATCACTTGCACCAAACCAGTTATAGCCAAGGGGCAGGCCGTTGTTTTTGGCTATACCGAGGTATTGGCTATAATGAGGTACAGCTTAACTTGCAAAGAGTTAACATTAGAGGTGTTACGAAGATATGGGATCTTGTCCTTTATTAGAAGAACACTGAATTAATGACTTTGTTGATGGAGCTTTCTCACGCCATAACTCTATTGGAGGTAACTAGTAATATCCATTGGAAGCCTTTGTGCTTAAATTATCAGAGGGGGACCCAATTGTGATTAAGTTTTGGAAATGTTTTATTGGTCTCCGAAAAGCTCGGGATGGCAAGCATATAGACAAGTGAGTTTGAGAAGTGACTCAATTGAAGGTCTGAATTTGGTTAAAGATGACAATAATGATTTTCGTGCTCACCAAAAATTGACATTTGAATGCCAAAATTCATTTCGTTGTGATTGGGACATTGATCTTGGTTACATGTGTACAGAAGACAATGTCAAAGATGATCATCTAGCCAAATATGCTCTTATAATACTCATTGATCTCAATTTTGTTTAGAATCGGTAATTCGAACAAAGTGGACTTATTTGAGTCGAGCTCATTTGAATTGAGTTTAAAGTATCATATTTCTTCTAAAAAGTTTATCAAGTCAAGGCCGACCTTAACACCTTCGAACTTATTCGTGTTGGCCCGAATATTCAAAACTTTTTAAAAATATTTTTTTAAATTTTTTGAACCAAGTTTAATTTTTAAATAATTCTATTAAGTATAAAATATTATTTTAATTTTAAAAAAATAAAATAAAAAATAACTTATCAATGTTGTATTTAAGTAGCTCTGTTATTATTTTATTGTATTATGTATAATTTATTCATGAATATTTTCGTAGCTCTGTTATTATTTTGTTGTATTATATATAATTTATCCATGGATGTTTTCATTATTTATAAATTAATGTCTTAATTATTTAAATATTGTACTTATCATAGTCATGTATAAATATTTTATATATTTTAATTAAATTATATTATTTTAATTATGATCAAGTTGATTTTAATTTAATCACGGTTAAACTGCTAACTTAAAATTATTGTGCCAATTAGTTCAAAGTTTTTAATAAATTTTGAGTAAATTATACTTTTTATTTTTATGAATATAGAAAAATAGTCATCATTATATTATATAAAGCAAAATTATTTAATTATAAGTAAAATATTATTTTTTGGAATCATTTTTCTTTAACTTTTTATGTTATTTAATCATTACATATAAGAAATTTTGATTCTAATTTATTCATAATTTTTAACTAAGTCTAGCATGGACAATAACTAAATAATTATTTAAGAATATTGTTCTATTATTATGTTCATCTAGTAGTAGAGTTTGGAATTCATGCATGCTCAAGTTTTATTTTCAATTTTTTTAATTTTATTTTTACTTTAAAATTAATTATCTTATTTTGTAAAAAATATAAAATTAATTTTTTTTACACAAATGATGTATAGGACTCAAATTTTTTTTTTTAAAAAACCAGGTCTTAAAATATAAAAATAAATATTAAAATATATTTTAAATATTATTTTGAGATATTTTATTAATTAAAAATAATAAAAATATAAATATTTTTATTTTTTAAAAAATAAATATAGTAATATGCTCAAATATATAGTATTTTGATATAAAATGATATAAAACTTAAAAATTAATTAATGTTTATCACATTTTATATGTTTTTTAAAAAATTATTTTTTATTTGAGTATTTGGGCAAAGTTTGAACCTGATCGAACTTGACCCAAATTTTCTCAGACCTATTTGAACTGTTCGAACAGGCAAAATATTAAAAAATTAATATTTTTTTTAGATTTGACTCTAAATTTTTAGGGTTGGTTTGGACTAATCTGTTGGACTTAGCTCAAATTATCAACTTTAATTTTATTTATTGAGGATGTTAGCTCTCTTATTTCTTATTTTGTATGGTAGTTGTCTTTTATTGTCTTTCTTTATTTCCAAAAAAAAAAACCTTGATCTAATGTGGGAATTTTTTTTTGTAAAAAAGAGTAAAACATACCAACATCTCTTCTATTTTATCTCAAGTATAGAAATATCTCTTTTATTTTTAAAACCTATATAAACCTTTATTAAATTAAAATTTACATAACACATAACTTTCTTCTATTTTAAAGATCTTATTTTTATATATCAAACCGTTAATTAATCATTAAATCATGTATTTTGAACTAAAATATTCCTCTTTAACATAAATGCTATTTGAGAATCATTTAAGTTTTCAAATGGTAATTATAATATATAAGTTGACAAAAAAGTTAAATATAAATAAGCTTATTTATATAGTATATAAGTTTCAGAATCATTTATATAAACTTGTTTATATAGTAATTTTTTAAATTTTAAATATAGAAGTTGACAAAAATAATATTTCAAACATCCTTGAATAAAAACTCAATAAATTAGAAAATTTCTTGGCAAAAAGGGAATTAGTAATATAATGAGAAATAAATAAATTAATATAAATTATGTTTATTTTATTAATTTAGTATAATATGTATTTATTTATTTTAGTATTTTGTAAAATATTTATGTAAATAGAACCATAATATTCTTTAAATACGAGGAGAGTGAATACATTAAATTCTAAGGGTAGATTAATAAATTTAAAACTTTTTCACATATTTTAATTAATATAATAAAATATTTTAAGATCTTAAATAAAATATTCTTAACAGTAATAAAATATAGATTAAAATATAGATTTTTTTTATTAAATAGTGAGGCAAAAGCCTCGAATGAAATTAACCAAGAAGGATCCTTGGGCAAACTAAGCCCTTTTCATCCCTGTACAAAAAGCTCAGAAAGACTAGCAGGCGGGTCATACAGCAAACGAATTTCATTGGGTGGATTAAAATATAGATTTTGAAAATAAAGGAGATTTTTTTTATAATTTTAACAAATATGATGGACTGTTATTGTATTTTAGTAAAAAACGAGATAGATGTTACCCACTCATAAACACTAAGATTTTAGAAATTTTACATGAAATAGAATGGCATTCACCTAGGCCCATAAACGCAAAGCTTAACGAGCTCTCAACGTGATGGCCCATACTCACTTCCTATATTGTACAGTACTCAAATGGACGTGTAAAACAAAAATTTTATATGATTTTTCAAACATTTTTCAGTTGTATAATGAATTCATTTTTTTTTTCGTAGGCTACACTTAAACATTGTATTAAAAAAAAAACACTACAGGAGATCCAAATTCATATAATTGGAAGTTTTGAAAGAAACTTGCCGGCATGTGACTTGCCCAAAAGGCGACAAACATGAAATTATTTATTCAATGTCTATGAAAACTAGCATCAACATGGGCAGGATGTGCATCAAATTTAAACATTTGTATGCAGTATAAGTAAGTGTTTATGTGTTACGTGCAGTAGTTTAATTTTCAAAGTCTATGCAAAGGTATAAATACCACCGTTAACAAATATTAGATATTTTTTTAAAAATTAAACGTTAAAAAATATAAAATATTTTTAATGTTTAAAATATCATTAATGTATTTTTTTTAAGTATCGCTAATAAATATATCATTTTATATTTATTTTAAAATAAAATATACTATTAAATAGAAATAAATATAAAAAGATGGTATTATTTTAAAAATAATTAATTATTTTATTAAAAAGTAAAGCTCAATGAAAAATATTTTATATTTTTTAATAGAAGGAATATTAATTTTAGATAAGAAACATGCATAATAGTTGGAGATAGGTAGCATAATCACATATATTTAGTTATCTGTTGACCAATAATTTCAAGCATATCAAACTGAATTCGTTGTAATAATACAATAGAACTACATAAAAAAAAATAAAAATTGTGGGAACAATTGGCAGTGTCAAATATGGTCAAAAATGACAAAAAGTTCACGAGTCATTTAGAGAAGGTCAAGTTAAGTAGCGAACGTAAAAAAACAAGTGATTTTCACATTTTGCTGGGGAGAGAAAAAGAACATAGCTTGACTTTGAAAATAAGAGGGTACTTCAGTAACATAATTTTTTGTAACCTGTAAGTTGTAACTGATATATCAACCAATCCTCGGCCCAAGGTTTAACGTCCGTTCGTTTGGAAGCAACAAACATTTTTAAGAATGGAATTTCTTGCTTCGGAAGGACAATACTATGGCCACGTCATATAATCATTTATCAGTTCTGCAACTATTGGTCAGCGATAGGTTGTGTCATGTAACTCGAAGCACCAGATAACTACCTACCTACAAACTTGAAAGCAGAAACCACCGGAGGGCGCCCCATCAAACCGTTAGTTTAACAGCCGTCAGGAAAGAATCATGATGTTGGGACATCAAGATTCCTGAAAATTGGTAGTTTTCGTTAATGTCTTCGTTAATTTAGGCCTGAAAGGTTTCGACTTTCTGAGGTTTCTGGAGAGTTTGCCATAAAAGCGAAGAACCCCACTGCTCTCCGATGGGTTCTGATGCAATAATGGGAAGTGGAGACTACCCTCTGCTGAAGGATTTGAGACTGGAAATTGAAGGACAGGAGGGAACTTTCTCTGTCTGTTTCTGGGTTTATCTAATGAGCTCCACTACGTTTCCTGCTACGATTCTCCAACAGGTCTGTCATGGCTTGCTTTTCTTAACTTCTCTAACCGACATGGCTTCAGTTTTGAGGAAGAAAATCGAAGTCTTGTTTTTTGTGTGTTTTATCGGTTCCTTGTGTTTATTTCTGTTCCCTTACAATGACTGTTGCCCGTCATTCAGGTTTCGCGTCACCACAAGCAGTCGTTATGATCTTTACTCAAATGAAATTTTACTATTTGTTGCATCATCTAATCTAGTATGAACCAGCCGTAAGAAACTGGAAAGTTTTATAGTTCTCTACATATCTGACTGCACAATTTAATCCGTTATGGCAGTAAATCTATCTACTACATTACTTTGTATTTCGGAATATCTTTATCTGGTTCAAGCTCACGTTTCCTGGTTCTTGTATACTTGAGTGGAAAGAGAAGGATCTCTTTTTCTGCTTCTAGTTTCCCAACGTTGTCTTAAGTTTCCTGTTCCTGCATTTGTAATGTTCTATTTTGTTTATATAAACCTGTGACTGTCTAGTCTTAAAAGGATTATTTCAGTTCGTGCAAACTCTTATAAATAGATTGTCACCAGCTGTCGTGTTTTTCAATAATGATTTCCCCCCTCATATCTAACTACTTTGTTGATATTCCTGATTTCCTTTGTGTTTCTTCTCTCTTCTCTACTTTCTAACTTGCCAGCTCTCTTCCTGTCTTATTATGTTCCTAATTTTGCAGCTGCAAACAAATTGCTATGCAGTTTAGCTTTTTATAGTTATAGCATGTGCTCAATAGCCTACTCGTATTTTGCCTGAACTCGGATTTTATTCCATCTTCCTGTGTGCTTAGGTTATTACTATTTGGCAAGTTTATTGGCTACATGATCATCATACAATGTGACTGATACCGATAAAACTTCTTAAAACAGCCAGCCCATGATTCCTCTCATGCATGACCCAAACATCTTTACCTTGATAGTGTAGCTTAACTAATTGAGATTCACTGAAATGATGATTTTGTTCAATGTCTTTCTCTTGTTTATGCTATTAAAAAGATGCTGAAAACTTTAATTTTTTATTTTTTGTTGGATATATATATATTTTTTACGGGGCACTACATAATTATTCTTATTTCTTTTTTCCATGTGTTATATTTCCTATTTACTTTATCCACTTGGTAGCTAAGTACAATTAATTGGACATGCAGGTGCTCTCTGATATCTCAGAAAGTGCTCCTTTTCTTGTTATAAATGACAACAAGAGAATCAACCTTTTACCCGTTATTCTCTTACATGAAGAAGCTCCTAATGTTGGTGATGTCAATTCCTGGACGGAAGTTCCGCATGCAACTGTAGATTTTGAGTTTCCTTTAGAAAAATGGGTCCATGTTGGATTTGAGGTATCTTATCTTATATGATTAGTTAAGGATGTGCGCGCGCGCCTGAAATGTGACTGCTTCTATATCCTTGTATCTTTACATATTGCTTTTTTGGTTATCCTTAGACCTCATGGACAACTTTCTTTTCAGTGTGTTGTTACATTAACCATGCAAAGGAATTAAATTAAATTTTATCTGTAAACTATTACATTGTGCTGATGCTTTGAGACCTGCCTTTTGACATTTAAAAGAAACAGGAACAAGATAAATATGGATGAGAAGATGTGCAATTTTCCCACCAATCCATAAAGAACTTTGGTTGCCACTAAGGCACTAACTCATTACAATGTAGACACTAATTTTCCCTATTTATTCTTTTATTAATGTAAATATATAACATGCTTATATTCTTGTATCATACAGATTACTCCAGATCATATTCAGCTTCAGATTAATGGAGATATTGTTGGAGAAAAATCTCTGTCTTCCTTATTAAACAGGGAATGCAATTCAAGTGGTTTGGATAAAATTACTTTGGCTTATGTTGGTGGTGATGGCAATATTGTTCAGGGTTATGTGCACAATTTGGAAGTCTTGTCCTCCGTTTCATCTATCAAGGATCAACTTTTAAAGGTGACCGTACATCTGGTTTTTGAAATTCCATTGTTGTTTTGATGTATTTTCTGTCAGGCTTTAAGAATCAGCACAAAATTTAACTAGATACTTTCTTCACCACTTAATCTTATACCAGGACCCTCCTCTGAAGTTATCTATCGATGAATTATCTGCCTCTGAGATTGAAGAAGAAAGTGATGGAGTTTGGAGCATTGTTGGTGGCAAGGTTAGAAAGATCTTTAGTCAAGCTTATCTTGTTAGGCTATTCAATGTGGTCATTTTCATGTATGGTAAATTCATCTTTGAAGTGAGTCATTTATCATCTGTTTGAGTTTTATTTATGATGTACTATGTGTGTATGATGTATCAATTTTGAAGGCTTAAAATTGATGCTTTATTGTCTTCCATCTTTTTAAAACCATAGAGTCGTTTTCCAGGTGACTTGACTGCAAATGTCCTAGCCGTATAACACTTGTAATAGTTGTATGACCATATGGCTATGTTCTGCTCCATTGCTTCTATGCACGTAATTTCAAGGCTCTATAGATGAAAATAATTTTCTACCATACATCCAGTGAATTCTACATGGACGATTCTACCAAGTTAAGGATTGAGAGAACTCATATTAAAATGTTCAAATGGAGGTAAAAGAGGGCATGAAGAGGGGCTGTCATTTGCTGATGTCTATACCATGATTAGCTTTGTGACATGGAATTGACTTGAGTTTGTGGTTTGATAACCTGACTGCTAAAAGTTGATGCCAATTTTTCCTTCCTATGATTTGGTGCAGGCATCCTGTCGTAGGAACTTTTCATTGGACGTTGTTTTGTTGGATGCTTTTCTCCAGCCTGTAGACATGGATACTGAGGTTTATGATCCTGGCTTTTATGTTGATCAAATGAATGATTTCTCCTTGGCAGTATATGTAGTTTTTAGTATTGATAATGTTTTCAGGTTTTTGCTTCACTTTTGTATGCTGATACTGGAGCGCCAGTGGAGAATACAACTGATGCAGAAGCACCCCTTTTGGCTAGCTTTGATGGGATTGAATTTTCTGCTCATGAAAGACCAAGTAAACTTTTGCAGGGACGTGCATCATTTAAGCTCAAGATATCTCAGGTAAAGATATCATGGATGAAATGTTGGTTTATGCTAACTCTTTTGATGAAAAAATGTTTATAATTAGCATATGTACCTTGTCAATTAATCTTGTCACTACATGATTAATTGATTATCACAGATGAAACCTATTAAAGTTGGACGTGCATTATATTGAGCATAAGTGCTATACTTGACTCATGTAGACAATCATGGCAGATCCTAAATTTGAAAAACGGTGAAGATTCATAACCATAATTGATATTTATATCTTGATGCTTTTTTTTCCTGGTCTGTGAAACATAATTGGCATACTTGACTTGCACAGGAAAAGGGACATCCTAAAATTTAAATTATAATGGGGAAAGAAAATCAAGGAGTTCACAGTTTTTACTGTTTACTAAGATAAAGTCACAACACCCAAAAAATACATGTTCTCTGATGTTGAAAAATATGAAATTTTCACTAGAAGGTTGGTGCACTTATTTTGTAAGATGTTTTATGAGTGAATCATATGGTTATTTCACACGGTACTTGCAATGCAGTGATGCACAGCCCTCAAGTTGTATTTGTACAACTTTTGATTTCATATGCAATTTCTGCCAAGACCCTCTCTCTCAATAAACAAAGTCTTTGTTGGCAGTTTGCTGAATATTTTGGGGTCGATTTTGTAGAAGGCTGTTGCAGTTAATCATTTCCCTCTCCATACCAATGGTCTGCCTTAATATTGAAGTCGTTCACTCTGCACTACTTCAGACTAAATTATGAAGGGTTGTATTATAGACTGAGTTGATTGACCCTCGTTGTAATGTAGCTGTTGTTCATCATCAATGACAAAACATAAATCCAACTTGGCTTGAATTTATTATGGAGTATTATGTTGAATATCTTCTCTCTTCTGATATATAACTGTAGGAATTTTGATTCCATACTGACTCCTCTTGGCTATTAACTTCATCTTTTGTTTCCTTTTCAGCTTTCATCCAAGTGTGATAATAGGTTGTTTCTCATCCGGTTTTGTCTGCCAAAGTTGGGAAATTATCCTTTCCTTGAGACATCTTCTCGTCCAATTCGATGTATTTCTAGAAGTCGCAACACAAGATTGTCGACCCTCGTGTGGAAAAGATCAACTCCTCCTGATGGGTCAATGGAACTTCAACATGCTGCTGCTCATGAAGTGAAAGCCAGTAGTCCATCAATGAAGCGGTTCAGACTCGGGCATGACAAAATATCTGTATCAGTGAAGGCTGACTGTGCCTCAGAGCAGCCTGATGAGGAATGCAATTCTCATGCCAGGACCGTTAATCAGGTATTTTCAATTTTTCAAATTATTATTTCTTTTAGACTTCCACATGTAAAAGTAACTAATAATGATACAACTTCAAATAGGACTTGGTGCGTGCATATTTTTTTCAGGGTATTCATATTCAGTATGCAGGTGTTACGGTTGTTTTTAATCTTTAATACCTAAATTACTCAATATCACAGTGAACTTGTTTCATAGGTTGAGAATGGGTTTGCAGCAAGCTTGGAAGGTAGACCTGAGAACTTTGATGAAGCAGATAACTCTCCATCTGATTCAGGGAGTATAGGAGAGGGAAATTCATTGTCCAAGATTGCAAGAAATCCAATGTCTGATATGACCATATTCAAATACTGCCTGGCAGGCTTAAGCGAGAGGTCTCTTATGCTCAAGGAAATAGCTACCTCTGCCTCTGACAAAGAAATTTTGGAATTTGCATCTCAGGTGTCACACTATTCAGGATGTTCACATTATGGGTAGGAACTTTTGCTTGCTCTGTTTATAAATGATTTATATTTTGAATGCCTGCATTTTAGTAGTAATATGATTGTTTTAATATTCTATTAATGATGTTAAATTGACTTTAAATGCTTGTAACTAGAAGGGTTGTGCTGACTAGTGAGAACCTGAGATGTTTGTTAAGATTTATTCTTCAATTTGTCCATCTTGATCAACAGCAAAATTAAATTGTTTGCTATTTTTAGTCTCAAATGCAACATTACTAATCATTCTCCAGAGTGTGTCCGTGCATATTATTACTCTATTTTGCAACTGGACTTAGCATTTATTCTCACTTGTTCTCAATCTCTGATGCTTCACTGTACTTGCAAATAATATACTGCAATTACTATATCTTCTGTAACTTTGCTCTGTGTTTTGAAATCAGAAACCAAATATCAATTGCCAAGAGATTGATAGAAGAAGGAATTCTGGTTTGGAAGACGTTGTCCCAAAACAACTACAATATTCAGTGGGAGAGTGCAGTTTATGAGATTGAAGAGAAATTCATGAAGATTGCTCGCTGCAGTTCAAGATCTCTCACACTCCAGGTGACTGCCAATTGAAATATCTTGTAATTGAGGCAATGTAGTACTGCTATTGAGTCAAGCTTTTCCAAAAATACAATAGAAAAGAATTGCATATTTTAAGATATTCTGGTTTTGTTACCAATGCCATGGAAACACTAATATGCAAAAATATCATTATATATTATTAACTTTGCAGGACCTAGAGCTTTTGAGAAGAATTTCTGGATGTCAAGAATATCTAGCCCAAGAGAACTTTGAGAAGATGTGGTGTTGGTTATACCCAGTGGCTTTTACAATTTCAAGGGATTGGATACTCCCACTCTGGAAATCCACATCACCCAAGTGGATAGAAGGATTCATAACTAAGGAAGAAGCAGAAGCTTCTCTTCATGGTCCCAGGGGGCTTCAGGAACCTGGGACATTTATACTCCGATTTCCCACATCGAGAAGTTGGCCCCATCCAGATGCTGGTAGCTTAATTGTGACATATGTTGGAAAAGACTACAGACTTCACCATAGGCTACTTTCAATTGATCGTATTTATGGGTGAGCTTTCTTTCTTTTGAGTTGAATTTGTTGCATATCATCTAGTTAATTAACATGTTTTATATAGGCTTAAGCAAAAGTGATATTAGTAAAACTAAATAGGGAAGGGCTAGTGAACTTCAAGAATGACATCTTTCTCCTTTTTCATGCATTTTGCGACATGTCAAAAATTGAGAATGTTTGGAATTAGGGTTGCAAGGTCCAAACTATTGGATCATAGGTCATAGCCATGGATGGTAGTTGTTCTTTTGTTCCCCTTCTTCCTTTTGCGGTTTACAAGTTCTAGATGATTACCTTTCTTGGTCTCTATTATCCACAAAAAATTTATGACAAGAAAAATATTCTTGTCAGTGTATTCTGTCACGAAAGAAAATTTTTCTTCTAAAATTTTCGTCCAATCTAAATTAAAGTTCACTTTTTGAGGAAGTTTTTTTCTTAGAGTAGGGACATTACTTCAATTTTAGCTTTAGCTCAATACTTGTATTGTCACGTACTAGTCAATATTGTCAAGGCTCATCATGGACTGTGCTGGGTCCAAATAAAAAATTTTCAAGCATCAGATAATTTTTCAAGAAATTTAGTTTCTTACCACCTAAAAGAGAAGTAATATGTAGTATGAACACATCTGACCCTCCATTTGTTTCTTACAGCTCTGGAGACAAAGGAACTGGCTTGAAACCACTACAAGATATGCTACTGGCAGAACCTGAGCTATGTAGATTAGGAAGGCAAGATACAACTGGCTTTCCTATTAGTATAATAAAGTTTTATGTGTTTGCTATCAGATTCTTCAGTGAAAACATCGACATCTGGATATCTTTTTATAACTCAGCACATGATTGATTATTTTAAAATAGTTCCTTCATATGCTATGATTTTATTGAACTTTATATTAAGCATCCGCAAGTTTTGTTTTTCTTAGTATTGCTTAAAGATTTAAGTCTTACATTGCTCAGCATTAACTGTATGCAAATCATTGGCAACTCTTCAGGATAATAAGAAGTCACTAAGATCACTAGCGTTGGAGCAGAGAATCCTTCAAATGGAAGTTCTGGTTGCTAACTTGAAGGTCGTCTTCTCTTGCTTGACTGTAAAGTGGGAAGAGGAAGGCGGTGTTGGAATCAAGATACGCCATTATAGATTGCATAGTATAGTATCCCTTTCAACATGTATGTAAATGTATAGTTTCATATCAGTTTCAGAGAATCATTATGAACAGCAGATCCATTCATATATTACCATTCAAAGCATTGCTTTCATGTTGTTATGCTCTTGAATCTTTTGTTCTTCCTGCCTTTTGATCGCCCGATGATTCTATAGTTTAAACAAAATTTTATTACTTTTTGCATGCTGAGCAACAGAATTCCAGAACAAACATATAAGGGTGTGTGTTGTTTTTGTTCAGTACCATCAATCTGTCAGCAGAGTTTCATTAAATGTAGATTTCATATATTTACACATTTATTTGCATAATTTAATTATTTATACCTTAAAAAGTTTTTCTCTATACAGAGAAGTAATCTACCGACCACCATATGGCAGAGCTAGAAAGAAAATAAAACCACCTCAGGAGACCTACAATTTAATGTGAATATATTGAAGACTACAGACTGATCTGCAATATACAAATATACAATTAGGTTGACTGACTTGGTAGTGGCAAGTTCTCATATAGTTATCACAATCTGTGGTTCTTACTTGAACTTCATTGAACTGTGGTTTTGGGAAATTAAACCTTTGTTTTCAAGTTTGCAATAGTAAGAAGGTCCATTGACTCTGCCGCTCTTCAAGTGGAAGATCCAAAGTAATGATTCCATTGTGAAACTAAACAGCACTATTGTACACCACTAAAGAATAAACAATCTTTTCTACCAACAAGAAAAAGACTAAATAGTTTATCACTATGCAAGTAAAGCAAAGTTAAAAGTAGGGAAGCTAGTTTCATCTCCAAGCGAAAGTTCAAGGACTTGGAATCCAGAAATGGCCGGCGAGGAAATTGAAGCTTCCCCATGCCACTTTTCAGGTCTCTTTCTTCCTCTTCCTCTCTCACTTCAATCCATGTACGTGCACATAGCAGAATGAATGCTTTTCAAAATTAAGATTTCGTTGAGTTCAAAATTCCCACTGCTTCAATTTTTCCCCCATTATTCCCCCAAAATTAAGATTTCTACTTTTTTGTGTTCAAGATTGCTTTGAATCCAGTATTTTGGAAGCAAGATGAATAACTTACGATCTGTGTCGCTTTTAACCTACGATCAAGTTCATTAGCAAAGATAAATAACAACTTTTCCGCTCGTGCCTAAGATTAAACATGGTAATACCATATCAATCATCACATCAATTCAATAGTATAAACTTTGGCCAAAGGAAAATTAGTTTACTTAGGGTTAAATGACAAATTTACCTCTAAGTTATAAATCCAAGGGCATCAAAGACCTTTAATTCATTTTTTATGCAACGTTCACCTTCAATATTTCAAAATGGTGTATTATTACCTTAATCATTAACAAATATCAACTTCGACTGTTAGTTGACTAATAAATTAAAGAAAAGAACTAAGAAATTTCTCGGTCTTTTTCTCTAATTTTTGGAGTCCTTCTTTTACAATTTTTTGGATCTTTATCTATAATTTTTGAGTCTTTTTCCTTACTCTTCTTAGTCATTTTTAATAATTTTATGGTTAACTAATGGTCAAAATAACTTTTGTTAATAGTAAGAGAGACATTGTACTATTTTTAAAAGTTAAAGGAGAATGTTGCTTATACAATATATAGTTTGGCGGTGAAAATTCCTTTTAACCCTTCTTTTTATGACACTTTTCAATTGTTCAACCATGAGTACCTTAAATATCATAGTATACAAAATGTCATGGAGTGGAGGATAGCAGTCGCGTATTAAGCAAAACTATTGAACAATTTCTAACAAAAAGTTATGTTCAGCTTGCTGATGTTACAGATTTCATGTTAAAATAAATTATTACAGATAATGGCCAAGAACCAAATACAGCCAGTGTTTCAACTATAATTCATCGCTGGAAGTGGTGGTTTATGGTGGCAATCAACACTGCCTTGCTCTTAATAGGCCAGTCTGGTGCAGCCATTCTGGGAAAATTCTACTTTGACCAAGGCGGAAAAAGTCTATGGATGGCAACACTATTCCAATCTGTAGCTTTCCCTGTCCTCTCTCTCCCTCTCTTCTTCTTCCCTCACCCCCAAAATCTTCCCAAGCATTCTTCTATTCAAACTCTCACCATAGTTTACTTCTTCTTAGGCATCTTGCTAGCAGGGGACAACCTTATGTACTCGTATGGACTCTTATATCTTCCTGTTTCTACTTACTCCCTGATTTGTGCTTCCCAGTTAGCTTTCAATGCCATCTTTTCATTCTTCGTCAACTCTCAGAAGATCACCCTTTTAATCTTAAACTCTGTGATTCTTCTCACAGTATCAGCTTCACTCATTGCATTTCACTCGGATGAAAAAACCAGAAAAGCTTCCAGTAAAGAGTTCATTATTGGGTTTCTGTGTACTATAGTTGCATCAGCAGGGTATGCTCTTTTGCTCTCTCTCATGCAGCTAACATTTGAAAAGGTTTTGAAGAGAGAAACATTCTCAGTTGTGTTAGAGATGCAGATTTGGACATCTCTTGTTGCTTCGATTGTGTGCTTAGTGGGTTTGTTTGCAAGTGGGGAAGTGGAGAGATTGAAGGAAGAAATGGAAGGGTTTGAGAGAGGAAGTCTGGTTTATGTTCTGACATTGGTTGGGACAGCTATGTGTTGGCAGGTTTGTTCTGTTGGAGTTGTGGGACTAATCTATGTTGTGTCTTCACTTTTCTCCAACGTTGTTAGTATGATGAGTCTGCCTCTTGTTCCTGCGGCTGCTGTGATTTTGTACCATGAAAAAATGGATGCAGTCAAGGTTGTGGCCTTGTTGCTGGCAATTTTGAGTTTTGGTTCTTATATCTACCAGAATTATCTTGATCAAAACAAGTTGCAACAGCCAGAAGTTCATGCCAATTCTAGTCCTGATAACTTTAGGTCAGAACGCAGATAAATTTTTTAAGAAAACTTTCATGTAATTCAATTGTGTTTTCTTTTACTACGTCCATGACAGATGGAGTTTATAAGTAATCAATGATTTGATGCTATATTTGCAAGAAATGCTAGTTCTCATATTTTTACTTAAATAATTGTAATTTAATATCTATAATTTTAAAAATTGAATGTAATTGAGTTCCTGTAATTTTAAAAATCGTATGTAATTTACTGTATTAAATGTTGCCAATATAATCAATCATATATCGTTTTCATTTTGATACATCATTTATGTACCATTCATACTAAAAAACGTAAATGAAAAAACAATTTTTTTTATGTTGAATTTTTTTTTTAGTGATTTGGGTGAATTTTGGCTTGAATTAACTGTACTGTAGTACATCTAATTAGAATTTGTTTTCCTACCCTATAATTTCGTATAGTTAAAGTGAGATTGACGCTATGGTTAGTTCCACTTGTTAAATGAAACTGTATTTTTGTTTTTGCCCCAGTTAATTACACGAAATGTAAGAAAAGAAAATCTGAGCGTTACATTAGTAACCATGGCTAAAAAGGATAATAAAGTTATCAAACTAGATGACATGAATTTACAAATGCTTTGTTAATTTTACGTTGTTATGAATAAATACGCATAAACACGGATATGAAATTATGAATACTAACAATAAGATAATAGTCTGAATATACTTTGAATTGTTATTTGATAAAGACAGAAAATGAATAATACAACAATGACAGTTACGCCACCGGTGAACAGCACAGGTGAAAGTGAACGACAGTGACTTTTTTGTTTTTAATTAGCTGCTAGCAGATCACGTGATCCAATTATTACATCAGAATCAGTGTCACATGGTGTTCATAGCTTTTCTCAACTGCCATATTTAGTGGAAATAGCACAGGTGTTCAACATTCCATGGTGACAGCCTATTTATTCACAAGATCATTCCCATTTCACACTGCCTTTTCCAGTTTGGTAACTCACCTGTTCTCACCTCTTTTTTTGTTTCTTCCTTGTCTATATATGCAAATTCTCAGCAATCTCATGATTTGACATTAATCTTTCCAATTATTGAAACCAACTTTTTTTAATTGTCGGTGATAAATTTAGTACTGCTTATATGTGTAACTCATGCCCACGGTGTTTTAACTGGTTAATAGAGTCAAATTATCTTATTCTGAAATTTCAGATTCAAGTTTTAAGATATATAACTGTGTTAAATAGAAATTCTGAATGCCTGTAGGATCGCCATTAGTAAGAACAACAACAACAACAACAACAACAACAAGCCTTTATCCCACTAGGTGGGGTCGGCGCCATTAGTAAGAACGATCCCATAAAATAAGGTACGAGTGGTAATAATATCTCTAGATTCTCTAAGATAACAGTCAATGAAATTAAAAAATAATAATAATATGTGTAATCCATTACCTGGCTCATAATGAGATTACAAATTTGGAATCTTTATAATTTAATTGTGAGTTTTTTATAAGAAAAATTTCCAAAAAAAATGCTCCAGGTAACATGTCACATCCTGTAGGTCTACAAAAGTTAATGTGAACAGACACGTTAGGTTCTGTGGCGGATAGACGCAAAGGTAGGCTTTTCTTCACGTCAAACTATTCATGATCAAAGATCTTGTCTTCTCATTTTACTTGAACAATCCGTTCACTTTTTCTTCTCGCTACCACTTTTCGCGCTCTTTCTTCTTAATCATAAATTCAAGTGTTTACTTATGGAGTCTGATGTGAAATGGTCAACATTGGAGCTTCCATGAGGCAGTAACTTACGAGGTCATGAGTGAGCAGAAAGGGAAAGTTCTGACAGTCATACTGGATCAATTCCCTTCTATGAAGATAAATCACTGTGAGTTTTCTTTCTCTTGCTCTTTCTCTTTATGGCCTGATTTTCAATGATGAAAAAAATGCTCCTTTTCTCATCTTATGCAGCAATATCTGTATAAGCTTTGTGTTCCCTAAAAGAGAAGTCGCCAAAGTCGGCTAATAATCCGCCATTGAAAATGGCTACTTTGCTTTACCATAATTCTAATCTTAGACTTCGTCATCAGGTTCTTAAAGTAACAGAATCACCTTGTCGAACCAAATGAGCAAGTCTCTGGTTTTAGCCTTTTACATCACCATATGCTGCATCTCTTTTGTCATTTCCAAGATCATCATCTCAATTCTCCTCTACAAAAGATGGAAGAGGAAGCACATGGTTTATGACGGAGTTTATCCAGGTATAGCAGGAAAAGTAATCATGATTGTCAGTCTGGATTCCCTGAGAAGTATGCCTGACATGCTTGAATATTTCTTTATGGTTATCTACCTAAAATTCTTTGTTATTGCAGGGAGAAATAACATATTTTAATGGGATGGTACAGGTGGGAAGATGGTGATATTTAGGTGTTCAGTGGTTCAATCTCTGACATCTGATGTGGTTTTAAAGAAGACATTGAAACTGAGCAACAAGGACATTATTGGATCTGGTGGGTATGGGACAGTTTATAGACTGCAAATAGATGACTCCACAGCCTTTGCAGTGAAAAGACTCAGCAAAGGAACTGCAGATAGAGAGAGAGGCTTTGAGAGAGAGTTGGGAGCAATGGCAGACATAAAACACCGCAATATTGTGACTCTTCACGGTTACTATACTGCCCCTCACTACAACTTTCTCATATATGAGCTCATGCCTCATGGAAGCTTGGATTCCTTTCTACATGGTATGCATCTCCTAGCTTTTCTCTATCACATCATCCAAGACAACCATAAAGGAGTATTTTTTGCTATACCAGCTTAGATTCTTCTTCTTCTTCTTCTTCTTCTTCTTTTTTTGTCACCCTTTTTGCCAACTAGATCTCGGTCACCTTGCATTGCATGGAGACCAATACTGAAAGCTGCATTGTTCATAGTGTTAGAATTGGTTGTCCTTGATCAATCAAGTTTGTATTAAACCATGGAATGATTACAACCAAATCCATAAACTTAAATATAACCCTACATCAATTCAAAGGCACATGGGTTGACCGATTGGCATTGTGATTTTCCAGATTGTACACCGGAATTTGGCCCCTCAACAAATTATAAATATCACTTTGGTCTTTATATGTTAATTTCATAATAATTATACCCTTTAAGCCTTAAAATTTTTCCAAATAGAACACCTTTATTTAGGTTGAATTATAATAATGGCCGCACTCTTTTAATATTTGCGTGTATGGCCCTATATGTTGAATTTTATTCCAACACATAGCTTTATGAGTAGCTTCCAGAAGCTTATATACATATCTATTGATGAGTTTTGCTGCTCCTCCTCGTCTTATTTTTTCATTCTTATCTGGTAAACTTGGTGTAGAATTTAAGATTGTGATGAAAGAAACTATGTGGCTTTGAATTTTCTTGTTAACTTGTATTATGTAATTGTAAGTGGAATGTGACTGATACAGGAAGATCAAAGAACAAGTTGTTTCTGGATTGGCCAACAAGGTACAGAATAGCCATAGGTGCTGCCAGGGGAATATCATATCTTCACCATGATTGCATACCTCACATTATCCACAGGGATATCAAGTCAAGTAATATATTGCTGGATCACAGCATGGAGGCTCGAGTTTCTGATTTTGGATTAGCCACCTTAATGGAACCGAACAAAACTCATGTTACAACCATTGTGGCTGGCACTTTCGGATACTTAGCCCCTGGTATAGATACAATACAACTATACAAGAACAAACACATAAGCATTAGAAAAACACTCCCACTTGGTTTCATTTAACGTGGTGGTATTTTGTCGTAGTTTTAAGTTGATAGGTAAATTCATATTTATTTTCCCTTCGCATTTGGCTACAGAATGATGAATGTGATCATGCAGAATATTTTGATACGGGAAGAGCAACTGTAAAAGGGGATGTTTACAGCTTTGGAGTTGTATTATTGGAGCTTTTAACTGGGAAGAAACCCACTGATGAATCATTTATAGAGGAAGGAACCAAGCTTGTCACGTGGGTAAGACATTGAGTTTCTTGTAGATTCCCTTCTGCATTTACATCATACAGAAAGATTGTTGCATACACTCTTCACGTATTTAGTTGGCGTAAGACATACTCCCTCAGTTCAAAAATATAAGGCATTTTTAACTGAATCTCATTCTCCAATAAAGTAGTTACTTGTCTTCAAACTGACATTATTTTTCCATAATTACCGCTATGTAATAGGATGTTTTACTTTAAAATAAATATAAAGTGATTATTCAATAGGGGCACTTTTGAAAAAAAAATACAATGATTATACCTTGAAATACTATAAATGCCTTACATTTGTTTACATTTGTTAACATGCAACCCTTTAAAAAATGCCTTATATTTTTGAATGGAGGGAGTAATTTAGTTTCTCAATATATGCAATTTAGAATTTCTCATACGTTTGGACAAGTCTGATTTTGATTACTGTAAGTTCTTGTTGTTTGAGATTTTTTCATCAGTTTTTGTTAGTCTTGTACCATGCATCTGTCTAAACTTCTTAGGTATAGTTCAAATACTTGAAAAAGAATTTCACTTGATTAATTTTAAGATGGAACCAAATGTACTATTAGAGTCAGTCTCATCATGCATCGAATGTTCTAGCCAATTTCTTTGTCATGAATCGTTTGTTTTGACCAGATATCTATAAAAGAAAAGTACTGTAAGTTCCACATTACCAATCATCAGAACTGACAACAATTGGTCTTGAGATAAAATCCAACAGAAACTTTACCTTGAAAGAATTGAGTTGATTTATTGGTAAGTTTAAGACAAAGTTTAAAGCGGGATTGGCATGCACTATTACTGGCTTCTAGTTGCAACAATTTGATGCAATGGAGTAATAACATCATCCCAAAGACATGGAGCCGAATAGCAATTTGATAATTATTTCTGGAACACAGAACATAATCTTGAGTATCGCATCACTTAGAAGGAAGACTTCCTTTGTAACCAATTGCTGTGTTATGACGGGGACAGGTGAAGGCTGTAGTTCAAGAGAAGAAGGAGGATCTAGTTCTTGACAATACCTTAGGGTCTTGTCCCATGCAAGAGGTAGACAATGTGTTCGACGTTGCAATGATGTGTCTTGAACCAAATCCTCTCAAGAGACCAACCATGGCTGAGGTTGTCACCTTACTGGAGCAAACATGCCCTCACAAACTTGTTAAATCTCCCTCCTGAACCTGATAGGGTTATTCTGAAGATTCGAGTGAGAACTTGTTCTGTTATTATAGGAAACTTTAGACATTGCAATTATGCACAGTAACATTATTATAATTGAGCATGACAATAGATTAAGTATGTGTTTGGAATCAAGTTGGAGTGGCACCAAAATCACATTTTGCGAGGAGTAAAACTCTCGTTTCTTTTGCGAAGGTCACATTTTGGCACTTCTAAAATGTGGTTCCAAACATGCTGTAAGATGTATAAGGCTGAAATAGGAATAGGACAAAATGGATGTGGCTCTTACAAACGGTGTAATTTGTTTGAAAATTGTGAATTAACATCCAAATCTTTTTTTCTTTTTGGAAAAAGTATGGAACAGGAGTCTCACACTGAGATTTTATGAGGTGTTTATACAGATCCTGGTGCTCTAGTGTTATGAGCTTGTTCTGAAATTTTCGTGTTTTGGCTTGATGCAGCGGAGGTCTCAGCTTTCCCCGTCACATCCTCAGAGCTTATGTATGTTTTCAGGAAAAATTCTATTTTATTTTAGCGTGTGGTTGAGACTTGGGCACCAAATCAATCATGTAAAGTTATCACAAGTTGTGATATGAAGTTTTACAGTCGTTTGAATTTCAATTGGTTATAATTAATTATAAAAATAATTAATTATGTTATAATGTAATTTATTTAAATATTATTTTTTAATATTAATTTTAATAGAATTGAAGATGTTTGGATAATTTATTTAAAATCAATTTTAACAGTATATATTACTATGAATGACATTGCTTTTTAAAATTAAATTATCAATATATTTGTATCTAATATTATTAAATTTGTTAAATTTTATTTAAGAAGTAAAATATATTATTTAAATTACATATCTGATTAATTATAAAAATTTAAATTATATTAATATTAAAAATTTAATTTACATAAATAAATAACTTAATATATCTTAATTCAAATAAATTTAATAAAAGAGAAAGATTTAATTCTTAAATACCAAACATTAATTTTACAATAACTAATAAAGATAATAATATATAAATTAATCTCTAATGACATCATAGATATAAGCCATATTTAATGAAGATGTTAAGCATAGTAATGTAACAAATAATGCAAAATAGTTCTCTCTCTCTCTGGACCTTTGTAATAATTTTTATAACAATCCTAAATTTTAAATTAAATTAAATTAATTTTTCTCTATCAATTAATGTTTTATTTGAATTAGTTTTATCGTAAGTGCTAAATGGAGATGGTAGTTGATAGAAACTTATACTAGCAACTTTTTTGAGAATTTAAAAGTCAAATTTTACTAAGAAAAAAGAAAAAAAGAGGAGAGAGATTGATTTTTTAATTAAATTTTATATCTTTCTTATAATTTTTTTCTGGGGCCTTTCTTTATAATTTTTTTTAATATTTTTTTATGTGAAAAAGCTCAGATTCTTAGCCTTTGAAAAAAAATCGATTGAATGATTTTTTAGGTGTTTGGGTAATAACTCAGAAAATCAATTTTTTGAGTAAAAAAAATTGATTATATACATGTCCAGACATGCACTTAAATTTATTTACCTGTAACGTAGAATTACTTCTTACAAATGTAAGGGAGCTTGAATTTTTTTTCCTTGGTGGTCAGATGAAAAGAATCAAAAGAAAAACTAACGAGGACGAAAACAAAACACAGAACCTAAGCCAAACTACACAAGAACTAAATTTTAGATGGTATATTGATATTGATCCGATCTTATTCTAGTTTTGAAGGTAAGTTTGTTATTTTATTTTCTGACTTTTTAATTCAATTTATTTAATAAAGTTAAACTGATTGGCTCCAACTTGACCTAGTTGTAAGAAGTAAGAACAACCACTAAAATTAAAATGAAGAGTGACATCCTTCTAGCTATGTAAAATTTTGAGACAACAAATTTTTAATTTCTTAAATTTATCTTAATTATTAATTTGTTTCTTTAAATTTAATTTTTAAGGACTTGATCCCTTAAATAATTGTTGTTAACTTCTTTATTTCATATTTTTTTCAAGGCACTTTTAAGTATTATTAGGACATAACATAAGCGACTTTTAATGTCATAATTTCTTACATAACTTTTACAAGGACATGATTATATGAGAGACAGGTCTTTTCATTTTGTGAATCTTCTCACAGAGATGAGAGCGGTTGATCAGTGTGAGCCCTTTATTCTCTCTATTTTCACTTTGTCTTGTATTTATAGAGGGAATCCATATGCTGTTTCAGTGACAGTGTGCTGGAGGCATAATAATGGTTTACTTTTGTCATCTGCGAGACTCCTATTAGGCATGTGAAGAAAAATGACCTAAGAAAGGCAATTCTGGTCCTGTGCTGCAGCTAAAGAATTGAATCTGCAGAGTAAAAATATCATTTTGCGTGAGAATAAGAGCATCCCAGTGTGCTTTTGAATGCTTTCTACAGAATCTACAGGGTAATGCATAAAGATGAGATCTTAAAGGTGAAAAAGAAAAAGAGACATGCGTCTACAAGCATGTTGCTGCCAATTCATAAAAGGAAGATCTCAAATTCTTTATATATTTTATACTAGAAACAAAGTAGATATTCCTTCCATTCTAAATTATTACACACTTTTAATAAAATCTCACATTTTAATAAATTTCATTAAATACATCTAACAATTTTAATTTTTTGCATAAAAAAATATAAATTTTTAAAAATATTACTCATTTAATATATTAAAAAGAGATGAATGAAAATTGAATAGAGAGACATAAAAGATACTCTCTCTGTTAAAAAATGTAAGACATTTTTTAAGGAGTTGGATGTTAAAAAATATAAGATATTTTTAGCATTTTGAGGTGTAATTATTATATTTTTTTAAAAAAATATTTCTATTGATAATAACTTTATATTTATTATAAAGTATTTAATAGAGATAAATATAAAAAGATGTGGTTAATTTGAAAGTAAGTAATTATTTTATTAAAATAAAATTTAATTAAAAATATTTTATATTTTTTAATGAAGAGATTAATGTTAAAGTAAGTCTATTTAATAAAATTTTAATATTTTTAAAATGTTTTATATTTTAAAATGCTGCATCTCTCAAGAAGTGCCACGTAAGTTGGGACAGGTAGTATTTTTTTCCCCCACTAACTAGTTGTAAAATCTCTGCTCCGTGAGAACAAGCTTCCCTAGTGAGAATTTCTGTTCTGTTTCAGCTCAAACAGGATGACAGAGTAGAGAAAAGCCCATGAAAACAACGCCAATGTGCATATCTATGGGAGTAAATTATCAATTCTCTTTACCAAAATCAAAGAGCCAGTTTAAAAATCTGTTTTAAAAATAATTTTTTATTCTTCAAAATAAGAGAATAAAAAAATTTATTTGATAATGTATTTTTAAAAATAAAAAAATAAAATATTATTTTAAAAAATAAAAAAATAACTTTTAAATATTTTATAATTATTATTTTAAAAAATAAAAAAAATAAAAAAAATTTCTCCCTCAAAATATGTTCTACAAAACTCCCTTATTTGTTTTCAGAGCAGGAATTCTAATTTCTGAGGGATTTGATTATCGAAGTTCGAGCTATGGTTAAAGTGAAACTGTGTGCTCCAACAAACTAATGAATTTTTTAAGTGACATTCCTTTTCTGGATAGAGTTGGTAATTCAGTTAAAATCGTTTTAATAACTTCAAAAAAGTTTAGTGCAGATCTTGAAAGTTTAGTAATGAGAAAAATTTATATATTTTGGTTATATATGTATATATTAATTAAATTAAAACACGTAAACTTTTTATATATTATTTATTATTTTGTAGCCAACTTTTGTATTAATGTTATGAACATATTCGAGTCAACTTTTTTTTATTTAATAGAATAAAAATACATAAAATATACAAGGTTAAATATAAGTCTTACCCTTTAGATTTTTTTTTATTTCAATTGCCCAAAAAATTTGAAGAAATCCCTCTAATTTGAATGAGTTCAGTTCAAATATATGATTTTTTTTATTATTAGTGAAATGAAATTAATTTTCATTCAGTTGGTTTAGTCCAAATATATGAAACTTTTATTATTAATAAAATGAATTTAATTTTGATTTCAGTTTTTACTTAACATTCACAAACTCTTTCGGAGACTCCTAATTCCCATATTTCTTAATTTTAAATAAATTTTTTAAAGTTTTAATAGTTGCTTGTTTTGAATATTTTTTTGAAAATATTAAATAAAAATGGCACAGGAAGTTACTCAATGTATACTTCCATTTTCATTCTTTCAATACGTGATTTCACTTGCATAAAAAATAAAAAAAAAATCATTGTAATATTATGTTATTTATAAAATCTACATTTTAAATTGAAATTGATTCAAAAAATAAAAATAAAATTTAATAATTTAAGTATTCAAATTAATCTGAATAAATAAAAAAAAAACCCTACCCAACTTGGTTACACAAATTATTTTATATAATAAAGTTTTTTTATAGCACAATATCATGGATAAATTGTGTAAGGAATAATTAAGTGAAGTCATATCATAGACTATTAAATTTTTCCATCTTAGTGGGAGTCATTGTAAATAATAATATTAAAGTTATCTCTAAATATTTGGTGAACAAAAAAATTAACACATTTATTCATTTCTTTAAAAATATGATCAAAGTAATAATTAAATCTCTCCTAACAAAATCTCAATATCAACGTATTTTGAAATCCAGCTAAAAGCAAAGCACCAATTACCATTTACCAGAATACCAGCTGCACTCCTACAGATGAGAATCACAAAGGCAATGGTAGTAGTGGTCCCACCGGGCCCCAGAATGCTTTTCACTGTGATCCTGTCCTCGTGAGAGTCCCCACCTCTGAAACGTCTCCGTTACTGTCATTGGCTGTCCTTGCAGCCGTTATGCTCGCCACCTTGCAGCCACTTCACCTGTCTTTCTTTGTTTTTTCACTCTTGTTGGTTTTTTATTCTTTTTTTTTTTTTTTAACTTTTTAGTCTGAAGGCCCCTCCTTTCCTCTCTACAAGTTCAAAGCCGCTCGCTCGCTCGCTCGCTCACGACTTCCTCTATCTCTCTCTCCCAGTCAATCTGTTTTTTGTTTTTTTTAATCAACGTGATAGCAGGCAGTTTCTGCATACCAGTGTTAGTACTGGCAGTAAAATAATGGCTAATGTGGCTGCTTTCCTTTTTCTTCTGCTCTTATCATCAGGTATCGCATATTTCATTTCATAGCCTTCAAGTACACTCTACAAATGATGCTTTTTGCTCTCTTTTCTCTTCTTGTGCTGGGTCTTTTCTTGCTTTTAATTCAGAAATCTCTGGTGGATTTCTCATTACAGTTCATTTTCCACCATAACAATATTGCAAATCCTCTGCATTGTAGCTTTCTAAAGCCTTTTTTTTTTACTGTTAGAGCTTACAACGGCCATCCACGTTGATCGAAACATGTTTCATAAGGGTTCCCTCAGTCCTAGCTTTCAGATCTACACTGGGTTTTCATGATTTTGAAGGATTCATTTCCTAAAAGTTCAAATTCCTACTTCATCTTCCCCTTTTCTAGGTTCACATATGAACTATGATGCCTTCCGGTAGCTTTTGCGTTACATTAGCTTCATGTTGCATCTCCCTGCTCCCCTAGTCTCTTGAATAATTGATCTCAATTTGATTTTTTAAAACTTTCTCGACTCTGAACAAAATAAGATAAATTGTCAACAGAATTGTAATTCCTCGCGTACTAACTATACCTTGAAGAGGTTTATCTCTAATATGATGACGAGGACACATGGGAGCAATCAATAAAAGAAAAAAGAGAAATTATCATTCAACCATCTCTTTCCTTCCTAGACTTACCTATAGCATCATTAGTCAAGTTACAAACAGCTTAAAGCTGATCATTTTGTTCTCTGTCTTTCTGTTGTACACATGCAGGGGGGAACCTGATTGTGGTTAATGGACAGGTAACAAAACATTAAACTCATGATTGTCTTGTGATGATGTTAGTGCTGGGACAGTGAGATCAGAAATAATGAAATTGAAAATTTTACAGAGGACACGGTGTGTGGCTAAGCCTTCGTCAGATCAGGCCACACTTTTAGCAAACATAAACTATGCTTGCTCTCAAGCGGATTGCCGGAATCTGCAGAGAGGGCGTCCATGTTTCATGCCTGACAATCTCATGAACCATGCTTCTATTGCCATGAATCTTTATTATCAAGCTAAGGGAAGAAATCACTGGAACTGTGAGTTCAGAGGTTCTGGTCTCATTGTTGTCACTGACCCAAGTAAGTGTTCTTCTATTGGGGATGAAGAGTTCGGTGATTTCATGTGTTTTTCATTGTCTAGATTTGTTTCCAACAGAGATTTGCAGATTAAATCCTGACTTTGGTTTTGATGTTTGTGCTTGGATTGTAGGTTATGGGAATTGCATTTATCCATAGCAATGGAAAATAAAAAGCTAGCTGTAGAGGTGGGAGAAGCAAGGTTTTGGTTGGTCCATGAAGTCTTTGCCCATTGTATCTGTGGGTTATTGTTCATGTGTCCGTTTCTATTCAAATTTGTAATCCCTCCCTTAATTGTCTTGCTGACAATAATTTATTTTAATTTTCAGTTAATAAATTATGAAATTAATTAAATCCTTAAAAAAACAACTTGAGGAGATATCTTTTTTTGAAAAACAAAATTGAAACTTTAAGCAATAGAGGCAATATCATTAATATATATATATATACATATATGTGGATTGAATATATAATATACTCCCTCTGTTGAAAAAAAATCCAACACATTTTTTTTTGAATTTTGGATATTAAAAAATATAAAAAAATTATTTTTTCAATGTACAATTTGTAAATTTTTTAAAAATATTTTTATTAAATAAATCAATTGATAAATATGATATTAAATAAAAGTAAATATGAAAAAATAATATAAATTTAAACGTAATTAATTATTTTATTATGGATAATTTGATTAAAAATGTCTTGCATTTTCAAATAGATAGAATAATTATTTTGTATGACTTTTTATATTTTTTGGAAACATTAAATAATTTTCTCATTTTTAACACGACCAAGCATTTTTTTTTTTGGGTAGTGGTTGGCTGAAAAAAAAATTTAGCAATATTTAGTCATTTATTTATTTTTCTTTTTTGTACAATCTGGCATTCAGTTCTTGATGATATTTATAACAAAGAAAGTTTTTTCAACTACCGTAACTGCGATGGGCAATATTAAAGCTAGCGATAAATATTTAGATGAGAAAAAAAAATAAAGTGTGAGAAAGAGGTTACATTTATTTTTTTTACTTTATATAAAATTTTATTTTAATCTTTTAATTTTATAAAATATATTTTCAGTCATTTGATACTAATACCATTAGTTTTATCACAAAAAATTATATATTAAATTAAACTTTTAAATATTGACAAAACATTCTCCTATATTAAGTTTATTTTTTTAATAATAATAATAATTAGCATAAAAATAATTATCTAAAACTAATATTATTAGAGTTAGAGGATTGAAAATATATTTTATTAAATTTAAATATTAAATTAAAATCTTATATAAAATTAGAGAATCAAAAGCATGCTTTAATGGGAAGGAAACATATGAAGGAGAGGCTATGGTAGGAAAAAAAATTACAATAAAAATTTAATAATATAATTTATAGTATCTTCTCCCGCCCTCTGTTTTATAAATAGAATACAAGGAGTATTGAGTATAAAAAAAAAAAGAATACAAGGGAGTATTGCAATATTGTCAAATCAAGCAAAATGTAGGTTTAAAAAGTCCACAGGTGTAAAGCAAATTATTGCACATAATTAGATGTGAGAATATGAGTTAATCTTGTCCATATAAGTTAACTCATATGAATTGAAAGAAATGTGGGTTGAGTTGAATTCAACTTATTTTTATATGGGTTGAAACAATTTCAACCCGATTCAACCTTTGAGAATTGGCGGATTAAATAGGCCAACTCACTAACCCATTTATTATTTTTAAAATTTATTTTTATATTTTTTTAAAAAATACACCTAAATAATAAGTTCTAATTTGATATTTTTTTCATAATTCATTCTAAATATATTAAAATTTTAATTGATAATATTTGTACAAAATATATAAATCGATCCAGTTAATAAGTCATGCATAATATAGTTTATATTTACAAAATTTTCTTCCTTTTCTATTTTAATTTTTTTAAAAAAATATGGGTTAAATGAGTTAATCTTAACCTATCAGTGTTAACCCATATGCATGGGTTATATGGTCCGAGCTAGAAAAAATTTATTTTTATTTAGGTTAATTTTTTCCAACTCGACCCGACCCTTATAAATGGTTATTCAGGCTAACTTACATAATTCAACCTATATTTTTGGCTCTACATATATACGTACTCCCTCTAAATCACAATATATTTTGCTTTTTAAAAGTATTCCTCAATTTTAAATATACAACATTAGGTAAATTTTATATTTCTTTCCATTTATACGGTTGCTTTTGTTTATTTTTTGTTTTTATATGCTCCATATTTAAAATAAAAAAACACAGCTTTGAATCCATGTACTTTATTCAAATTTTACTTTTGGTTCTTGCACTATTTTCAATATTCTAAGTCTCTTAGAATATTAAAAAATAAAAGTGTTGAAAGTTCTAGTTTCTAGGACATTTAGAACATCAAAAAAAATTAAGGACCTATAATAAAATTCAAGTAAAATGCATGAATTTAAAATTATGTCCTTCCTTTAAAATCAATGCACGTGTTATTGATAAATCTTGAAAAGGCATAAATAAAAAGATATAAACATTTTCAGTAAGTCAATGTTTCAACTAACATTTTTTGTTTTTTATAAAAGCATGCATTAGTTAACTATGTTGTAATCTGGATAAAAATTTTGATATATACTCATGCATATTAGGTGGCATTAAAGTACTATTATTGTCTATTAATGAGAATAATTAATACTCATCATACACATGTATCCATGATCGATCATTATAGGGTAGATATACAATTAACGTCTTAGTGGGGTAACCTCGATAATATATCCGTCCCTCCTAATTCCTATAGTCCTACGATCCAAGGGCAGTGTTTATATATTTTTGATGTTGCAGTTATATTTTACTTAATTTTTATTATGAGGTACATCTACTTATCTTATCGATATCAATGAGAAATTGTTAAATTATTAATTTTATTTAAAAATAAAATAAAATTTTAATTTTATCTTTCTTTAAATAAAAATTTTTCATGTTCACATTATATTCTCTCATGATTAATGAATTTAAATAGGATAAAAATGAATTGAAATTTTTTCATAAAAAGCACCTAGTAACATTATTTTGACTTTCAGCAAGTCATGTGGCATTTTTTAACAAATTAAATAAATCAAGGCAGCAATCTTCTTCTGCCACCATTTCTCCGATCATCAGCCTTCACAACGCCTAGATTTCTCTACAAACTTCTCATTCCTGTCAACCCTCTTCACTCAAACCAATGCTTTCACACTGTCCACCCTAGCACTGTCAACCACTTGGCCTATGTGCATTATTATAAAATAAATTTACGGAAACACTTTTTTTTTTTTTACCTGAAAAAGCGTTTTTGAAGTGCTCCTATATCGAGCGCTTTGAAATTTACAGGAGCGCTTAAAAAAAGTGATCCTGTATGTAGGCTATACAAAAGCGCTTTACAAAAAGCGCTCCCATAACACACTGAAGCATTCTTCAAAAGAGTGTTCCCCTATGCCGCCGTACTGGAGCGCTCGGAGCGCTCTTTATAAGAGTGCTCCCGTATGATCTATATAGGAGCGCTCTCTATAAGAGGGTTCCCGTATATGGCACTTTATAGGAGCGCTCATTTGAAGAGCTCTCCCATATATTACTTTTATTTTTTTAAAATCATATTTTTTAAAATTTTTCCTTTTACATCTCTTTAACAATGGCAAATCATAATGTCAAAAACTAATTTAAAAATAATATCAACATAAAAATTTATATACAAGAAAAGAATTTGAAACTGATACAATAATTTTAATTTCCTAACTAACCTAATTTAATTTTTAACAAGCCTAACAAATGAAACTATTATTATTTTTCTAACATTGAAATATAACTTCCTATCACAAACAGCCAATAATATATTTTGACCACTCTTCAACTAAATTTTCTATTTGCTCCATAGTGAAATGCGAATATCTTGCTCCAACAAAATACTACACAAGATATAAAAATAATATATAAGTAATTAACATTATATTAACTTAATTTCAAAAATTTTGACTTACATTTTCAGGAATGATCAACTCTTGTTATGTGATTACTTCTCTCATAAACTTCATAACATAGTATCCACACTCCCAACCTTGTAATTATGTAGGTACCTATAAAATAATAAAAGATGTCATTATTAAAATATGGTAGAAATAAATATTAACTTAATTTAAAATACTTCAGTAATGAAGTTATAAATATGATACAAGTATTTGCTGTCAAAAATCTGGCAAAGTCTCTCTTATAACTTGAAAGTTCCAGAATTTTTTAAAAATTCTACATCAATCTAGAACAACATATTCAGAATAACAAACATAAAATATTAATCAAACAATCATTTAGATAATGTGCTACAGCCCTATTATATAATACAAACCTTTATTCTTTTCCATAAATAAAACTCAATAGGATCAAGTCTTTCGTCGTTTGGAGGGAGACCTTCACCACCTCGATAACGTGCTACAGCCCTATTATATAATGATTAAACATATCAAGTAAAAACTAATTGTTATAATAAACATATATAAAGAATATAGAACTAAAAACTTACTGATTAAATAATATCATTATAGATTTGTAGTTCTTAAAGTCACTATCTCTTAATGAATCAAGATAATAAATCACAGGAACAAATGGATTGATACAAACAAGCACCCAATGTTGTATGAAAAAAGAAAATATTTTATTAACTAAAATATCACCTAAAGTTAAAAATAAACAATAATAACAATTTACCTTGAATTGTGAGGAGCTAAAAATAACATGTTTCTTTTACCTTTGGCTTTGAATGCGTTAGTAATCTTTTGAGAATGATACTCAATATTGTAGGTACTAGTGTTGTGCGGGCTAATAAATAAAAATTTTATTATCAATAAACTCGGCACCACAAAAGTATATAAGTACCTAAAATAAAAACAAATAGAATCATTCACAACTAAAATTAAATAAATACCACAATAAGTAATAAAATTGAGAAAGTAACTAATGTGTAAATTAATTTGTGTGGTTTGTAACCAATCATTGGTCAGAATCTCGTTAATATTTTTAGCTGCTAATTTTTCGCTAATCATTTCACCATAAATCTCCTTTTCAAATTCTACTTCACGGATCTTATTTTTAAATGTTGTTCGCATAATCACTTCAAGTGCATTTTGATGAGGATATTCAACTGAATAGATTCTATGTTGGTCTTCCCTGCCTTAGCCACAGAGGTAGATCCTTTCGACAGCTTTCCTTTTGCTTTGATTGGCTTCTTTACAACTTCTTTAGATTTTGAGGACTACAAAATATAAAATGGAGGTCTTCACGGCGTCGCTTCCTCCGGTGTACAGCAGTGGTGCAGATCTGGAACAGCAATG